TTATTTGTAAGTCAATGTAGTTGCCTGTTAGTAAATAGGGAACTTCATAGGCATGCTTATGTGAAATGTTCGAATGTTTTCAAATATTTTTTATGTAATCGATAAATTGAATCATTGTGATCATTATGAAAAAAATGTCATAAAATAGAAAATTAGCAATTAATATAAAATATAGGCTTATGTATGGAATGTATTTCCACTCTTGGCTAGACTGGATGTAGCAGAGATATTTTTGCAAGCGCCTCCAGTCCTATATGCTCTAACATTTTATTCATACTAATTTACAGTGCGCGGATTGCGGAACGCGAGAGGCGACCTTACACCTCACCTCCCGTTAAAACAAAAAAAAAATACAGTCGACTATTTTTCAGACTGAAAAAAAAAAGCTAATCAACCGGAGTTTTGAAAAATCAGCATTACTTTTAAGGATATCCGTATAGTAGAACAACAATTAATTAAAATCATGATTGTCGTTTGATGTATTTTGTAAATTAATAACACATCTGTTATTGATATTGTGGCATAATTTCTGTTATATTCGCGTGGCTTATCAAGTGTCATTCAAGGGTTCACATTTGAGTTTAACGTACAATGTTTACTTTTATATTTATTGACACGTTATTGTAATAATTTTAATAGATATTATATAAAATTATCTTCAATATGAGTTCGTGTGGTTATCGATTCATAAAATATGTACGGTATTATAACAATGACGCAACAATAGGGTGACAATATTCCAAAAGGGTGAATTGCGTAACGAGGGTTCCTAACATCGAGCACCACAGGCCTAAGTAATAGGAACGACATTTTAAAACCTAATTATGTAATGATTGCATACAATATTTTTTCTACGACTAAGTGAAAATAATGAAACAACCAATATTTTTAACGCTACAAAACAAAAATCACAGAGATGGAATAGCAGTGTCCGTGATTGGCCAAGTACCGCGTATATTTTAACCAATCAGGAGGCAACAGAGCTTTTGAGTAGCGTCGTATTTGATATTTTACATTGATTTTGAGACAGTAGTAGTAATAGAGCTCCTTGTGAAAGAGTTCGTCCAGGGAAGTACTGCCACCGTTCCTATTTCTGTCGCCAAGCAGTACTGTCAGCATTACTGTGTTCCGGTTTCGAAGGGTAAGGGTGCTGGTGAAATTACAGGCACGTGGGACTTGTCAACTTACGTCTCAGGGTGACGAGCGCAGTGGCAGTGCCCCTCAGATCTTTGCGATTTAAAGCTCTGAGTGGCTTTGCAACTGGTATGGACAGGCGTGTCGTTTACCATCAGGCGCACGACATGTTCGTCCTGTCACTTGATATTATAAAAATATGGAGTCACGAAGTTTTTCGATCAGTAAAGTAAATAACATTTATCATAATGGATTCAATTGACAAGCGTATCAAGAGGCTTATAGGTGACTCGGAATCAGTAGAGGCGAAGCTGCAGTCTTGAACACCGCCGAAAAGTTGCCTGCTTATCGGTATTCTACAGGATATATCACGGAGAGTGTGCGATGGAATTACACGATTTAATTCCGCCTTCCCCTTTCCATCATCGAGAGACGAGACGTAGGCTTGGATTATGTTGTGGATATTTCAAAGATTCGCACGAAGCGTTACGCTTCCATATTTATATGGCGAACGGCTATGGAGTGCAATTCCCTGCCTGCAGACTTGTTCCCTGGGCGTTATAACTTGGACCTTTCCAAGGCGAGAGTTAATAGGCATTGTTTAGGTGTGCATGCTCCATCGTCGACCTAATAGTCACTTTTCATCAGGTGAGATGGAGGTCAAATGCACACTTATTTTTTATTCAAAAAATCTGCACTATACACGTATAAGCAACAATCAATGTTATTTAACCACCTCGGTGACTCAACACTTTGCTCTGTTGGCGTTGATGATAAGGGTATCCCGGGTTTAACTCCCGGTAGCAATAATTTGGGAATTAACTTTCTAGATTCGCTCCGATCTGGGTGTTCTGAGTTGTGTATTATATGTGAAATTCCGTTACTCTAGTATTCACAGGAACTTCCCTAGCTTGAATTTTTATGTCCATGTTTTGCAAAACAGAAACAACTGTTAATCTATACAACCTCAAATGGCTTTGGTTGATTTCGCATAACAGTGTTAAATTAATCACTTTAGAAAAAATATATAGTAAAATTGAGGATATATACTGATTACCATATATGCTGATTACTAAAAATTTTTACGATAGAAAAAACAATACTTACCTCGACATTTTACAAGAAAATCGCTGTATTCAATGAGTACTTTACATTGCCGCTCACGCGGTGCGCTTTAAATACAAGTTTTTATAAATAAAAATTATTATTCTACATTGCTAAATAAATACCCTCCGTACTACCAACAAAAACATTTCAGATAAAACGCAGTAATACACCGCAAATCCTGCACTTAAAAAGCACTAATGAAATTTTTGGTGTACTTGGATAAATATGATAATATTCCGTTTGAGTGGTTCTAACGTTTACCATGAAATTACTCCTTAAAGTATAATTTATAAACATTTATATTCAGTGTAAACTTAAAAAACGCTACTTACGGTATGTTTTCAATAAATAAACACCGAAATCACCAGCCTAAACAATAACACACACGATTGTCGTGACGTATTTTTGAAGTTGTTTATTTTTTTTAAATGACAGACCCAGGCATTAAAAACTTTATGGTTTGCTAGAGTAGTTACCGAAATAGCAATTAATATTAGTTCTTTTACCTGTTATAACTTCGATATCCGATAAATCGGTATAAAATCATCACCGGCACCTCTAGGTGTGGTATGCGTCTACAGCTGCATGTATCGCGTGAGCGGATAATATAACTGTGATTTTTTAAATATCGACTTATCTAATTAGAACATATACATTTTTCAAATGGCTGTAATTTTGTTTGTAAAGAAATTAATTCTGAAATAAAGCCAGTGTCCCTACCGCTCGACCCAAGCAAAATGAACCGTATTAGTAAGGGAAAAATTTGATTTCGACGTGAGACAGTATCGGCTCCTAAAATGAAACTCCAAAAACAATAAATTAATGTATATCTTAAAAAAAAATTTACACACAAGTTTTGGCATCTGCGACGCTATATTCGTAAATTATGCCATTCGTGGCCAAATACATTGTACCAACTTTATTATCAAATGCAATTGCCGAAGGTACAAAGTCCAAATTCATCAGTTTCTTGGGAATTATGTTGTCTGGTCGCAAATGGTAGATTCCGTCATTTGCCGCAAGAATCACTCTTCCAATCATATCAACCGCCATAGCTCTAGCGTTATTTTTGGCAATACCGACAAATTCTACAGGCTCACTAAAGTCTTTAAGCAATACTTTAACGTATTTGGAATCACACTCATAATATATATTATCATGATGATCAACAGCAAGTATGAAAGCGCATGGTACGTACGCAACCTTTCGTTTTTCGTTCTTCTCGACATTTAGTTTATAAACTTCGTTTTCTGGGAAAACGACCACATAGAGCTCGTTTTTATGTATCGGTTTGAATATTTGAACTATATCCTCGTCTTTTAGACTAATAAAGTTGGCGTGATCAGTGCTATTAAGTATATTAAGGCCATCATCACTGGCAATATAAACTGTGCCATTATTCGTATCTACGGCTGCAGCTTGACCATGTATGTTGTCAATTTTAATCGGTTTTCCATCTCTTAAGATATATTGATCCATCTTAGTCTGTTCATTATCGTTTTGTAATGAATCTATATCGATTAATGTGAAATATAGATCATTGTTTATTGAATTGTAGGCTAGGTTTGTAGGGAGGCCTTTTATTGTGAGCATCGACTTTCTAGTATATGGTATCCCTTCGAACTGGTAAGGACATTTATTCGCGGCAACTAGTGTTACGAATAAGAGGAACAAATAGCGCAGCATCTGGAACAAATTACATCTTTATTAATTTCTAGTGACTTACTTTTTTTATGGATACTAAGTGTCGGAACGAACAAATCATGCGCTTGCTAGCAAGCGACACGCCTGTCCAAAACAGGTGTAGTGCCATTCAGAGCTTTAAATCTCAAATATCTGTGTAGCACTGTCACTACGCCCGTTACCCTGAGACATGAGTTGAGAAGTCCTATGTGCTTGTAATTTCACCAGCACCCTTAACCCTTTAAAATTGGAACGTAGTAATAGTTACGTTAACGGACTGGCGGCAAAAATAGGTAATGTAGCAGTATCTCTCTGGATGAACTTGAAAAAGTTGTAAACCATTAATGTGCCCAGGATCACGGTAATAAAATTGGATACTTCGGTCCACAAAAATGACCGATGATGAATGAAAAATAGACGCAATTAAAAATTACAGCTGAACTGCTCGCTACAACGATTGAACAGGGAATGACGACCGAACGAAACAAAAAGAGAATGGTGAGGCAAATGAATTAAAGAACGATTTAAAATTTGAAAACAAGTGGCCAAGAACCAGAGAGAAGGTGATAAAAAGGTGGGATGTAAGGAGGTCACATCGTCACAAACTCTTTCACATGGAGCTCTCCTGCTACTTACGTACTTGTTGCCATAATGATACCACATTTCTATTCGACAATTAGGTTTCTTTTTCTAAGAGCTGGCGACTACCTTGCACAACGTAACTACAAGATAATAAGCATAGCTTTTCTTAGGGCATATCAATCACCGTGAGATCAAATTACATTCGACAAAAAAATGAAAACCGCGTAACTCCATTTTCGGAAGAAATCTTTTTTTACTCTTCAAGCGCAAAATATAATTTGTAGACCTCGGTTTAGTTAAGAAATAAATGTCATAATATATGTAATTATTTCTACTAATTCTGTTTTTTGTGCCTACTTAACAGTAGTTCACATTCATGGAGTTCACGAGGTTTACAAATTTAGCTGACGTTTGTATATGACCTAATACTTTGTCCAGAGTTTAATCTAGTATATACTTTATATCTTATATGAATATTTCACACTTTCCAAACAAAAATGTATAATCATCTATCAGATTTTATTTGAAATTTAAGGTTTTTTCAGTGATTATCATTTTTTTAGGTATGAAACAAATCGTCCACAAAATGGAGAGTTATTATCACCCATAATCTTGCAGTTGTTCTGACTGACAAATAATGAAAAGACCATGAAGTAACAAAAAGTTAAACATTTACATTTGCAAATTTAGTTTTAATATATTTTTTTAAACACATGGTTGTCAATTTTCAGTGGCTTTTCAACTTAGGCTCAACTCACACTGATACAGAGTCGAAGCGACGCGTCGCATCTTGTTTTTCAATTACAACGCATGGCGACTATGGAACTACGACCGCATTAGCGCGCCCGGATCACAGTGTGGTCGGCGTTTGACGCCTCACTGGGCGCTGGGAACGCACGGCGTAAAAGGAACGCACGGTAAAAAAAATAAACAAACAAAAGACACGCATTCGCCTTGAAAACCGTTTTAAAAACTAATTCCACTTGATTGGAAATGAAATTGTTTTTCGGAATTCAAATCGCGTGTATTTGTTTTAACGTTTCGGGCTCTTTACATATTCCACGGTCACGGCTGACTGAGATGGATTAATCATCAAACAATTCGAGTTCTTAGATTTTTGTGATTATTACACATCGCACTGGTATTACAATAGTGTTATAACTCAAAATATGTGAAATTCAAGATTATACTATTGTTGAACGTAAAATTTGATTCTCTACCGGTCAATAAAACCGTTGCGTCGTTAGAATATTGCAAAAAACAACAAAGTTTCTACTTAACTCACGCTTCATGTGAGCTTGTTCTGGCCAAAATAGTCCTTATTCAAAAATCAGAAATTATATTTTCTTTTTTTTAAATAAATATGTATATTTAGTAAGTAGGAAATTAAAGGCATTTCAAAAAATGTGTATGGTGTACTATACGTGTTCTGTTTAGTTCAGTAGATTAAAAAAAATGGTATATGTAAAGTAGGTACGTACCTATTGTATACAGTGGTTTTTTGTAAAATTTCTATTTAAGAATCGTGTTTTCACACGGTATATTAATCAGTGTATATCTTAAGCGGGAGCAGAGGAAAAATTCCTAATCTTCGATTTAATTTTAGAGCGGTATATCCACTTTAAAGTTAAAAATAAAATATTGTATGAGTAACTACACGACATATATTAACAGCCTCCGTGGCCGAACGGTTACCATGCCGGGCTGCCACGCAGAGGTCTCAGGTTCGATTCCGGGGCCGGGAGAAACATTTGTATGGCCTACATTTATTTCTCTCGTGAGTTTGGGTGTAATTTGTGGTTGTCTATATGTGTGTCCATGGCACCCGCGACACAGGGTTTCCCTAGTGGGGGGCTATGTTGAGTGTGTGCGTTATTATTATTATTATTATATTCAAGCATAGACATTAATCAGAAACATAAAACAATAAAGTTTCCTCGATAGATAAAAATTACGAAGTGACCTCTAATTTTCACATTTTTTCGATTCAATGCTACAGGTTATTAGGACAAAAATTAGATAATTAATTATATTTATGCATGATCGAGAACTGTCACTACGGATTTTTTTAACTTTAGTTTTAGAGTATTCCGCTAAAACGAATTTGGTACTTTTAATGCGCAAAATTCAACATTCCTGTCGCATGTCACGCGAGCTTCAGGCATATACATATTTGTTTCACAAATTTGGGCGGAGCCAACGTCAAAACTTTTTTGGCATGCTCCCTCTTAAATTTTACTATATATTTATTCAAAAGCGATTGATACCATTTGAGGTAGTATAGACTCTTAAACAGTTGTCTAATATTAATGCAAACTTTGTTCTGAGTTATTATTACTTATTGTAATTTACCTGTAAAGAGCCCGAGACGTTGGTTTATTTGAACAATTATACCCGATTTAAATCCGAAAAAAATATTTTCATTTCTAATAGAAAAAAACAATGGAAATTGATTTGTTCTATACATTATATAAAACACTTACAATTTTATCGTAGTTATCTCAAAGGAGGTCAGCACACAAGACCATGCAAATCACGAATGCCACAGTCACTTAAATTTTAAACAGCTTATCTTATACTGGTCATGAGTTCATTGAACGTCTATCAAATTGGAGCAGACACGGTTCAACTTTGTTATTAATAATAATCTAGTTATTTACAACAACATATTTTATGAACTGACCATGAGATAAACAAGATTTTAATGCTTGAAAATTCAGTCCAAAATGTGTCTTCTATACTGTCGAATATGTATCCTCGTAATCATGAACATAGTCATGTTTTCGTACCCTCAATGTCATAATGTCACATTTGTAAAATGATAACTTTTTGGGAGAAATGTTTAAACATTCTACGAATGAAATTATTCGCCTTTAGTATAGGAATTGAAACAATATTTTCTGACCTAAATCACGTTTATTTGTTTTTTCAAACAACCGTGACTATGGGACCTTTTTTTTTTGACGGGGCAGAGATCTTTATGGATACCCTTGAGCCCAGAGAGACTCAGGGGTTATGTGGGGACTCTTCCTCCAGACTGGAGGGCCTACCCCACTAAAACCCCCCCGGGTTTCCCTCTCGCCGGTTCATTCGGCGCCGTGGGATCGGTGAACATTCACCACATGTGACTATGGGACCTGCAAATGTCCCGTTACGTATATATACGTTGGTTTGTTTAAAAAAAATAGTTTCATTTCCTATGTATCACAATCGCAAAAATCTGAGAAGTCGACATGAATTTAGTAGTTTTTTATACTTAAATAGTACAGTCACAAAATATAATTTAACATAATTGCGACACTTGATGTGATGATCACATGTGGTTTTATTAAACCAAAAGTTCGATATCTAAATTTAGGTGCAAATAATACAAAACAATTATCATTAGATACAACTTTGATGACTGCATGACTTTTTTTTATCTCCCAATGATCAAGAAGCCTGCAGTTTGCGATAACTGTATAGGCCACGGAAGGTAAAACGTATCAAACTATTCAAATGCTTTCACTTGAGACACAATTGTAGAGATGGGCAAATGCGCTTTGTTAACCGAATTTAAATTGGATTAAAACCCATTAAAGCCCGAAATCGAGGGCAAAACTAATTTTCAACTAAATATTTGTTGTAAATCGAGTTTTGTTCAAATTGATTGATATTATTACAAAATGTTTGTTGCTTTCTTATCTAAGCGATTCAATTTGCCTTTGTATTGAATCGATTCACTTGAAAATCGCATTGGAATAAATCTATTCAAATCAATCCAAGTTTTATTGAAATCGGTTACCGGAAAGTGCGCGAAACCCGATTCATCCCCTAATTTGCAACCCTTAGAGGTGGAATATTTTCTTCAAATTTAAATGGGGTCAATACAGAGGTACCCTTTTTCCTACAAAATAAAAGAATAACCAAAATTGGTTCAAAAATTTTCATATTCATATATTTATTGCTTGCTACATGGTTTCACACAAGATGTTATAAAATATAACACAGTAGTTACACATGTGACACCCTGCAAGGGCGCTGCAATTCAGGTTATGTTATCATGTAACATAAATACAAAGGAAGTACAGTCGAATAAAGAACCTCCTCCTTTTTTTTGAAGTCGGTTAAAAACTGAATCGTAATGTGCATTTTTATTAGTGAGAAACCACAGGATTTTAGAGTGGGTAATGTGGAGTGGCCTCTTTTTCTTCCAAAAGACATTTTTAATGAGTATGGAATTATATCAAATAATAATGGTAAAAAACTGGTTGAAACCCGGGCGGGTTGATTAGGTTTGAACCCACTGCCCATCTCTGGACACAACCGTTAAACTCTGAATACAAGTAAAATTCTGATCGCCATTTTATTACTGAATGACAAGTCCGAATCCCAATCATTTAAATGTCAATGGTTGCGACCACGATCTGTCATCGCGTGGCCTATTAACGTGACATATTAACCGACTTCAAAAAGGAGACGGTTCTTATGTCGACTGTATTTTTTTGCATTTAATTTACAAGAAAATATTCTACCTCTAAGGGTGGCAAAAGGGATGAATCCGGTTGCGCGCACTTTCCGGTAACCGATATCAATAAAACTTGGCAAACAGATGTAATTCAATTAACTTTTCAGGTTTTTTGTTATAAAAAAATTATAAATTATGGACACTTAATCGCTCAAACTTAAGCGCCCTGAACGATTTAGATATCTTATTATTTTTGTAATATTTTATGCATTATTTTTTAATATTTTTTATCAATTTTAAAGTGGTGGATAAAACACGGCTGCGCGTTAGACACAACGCGTGTCTCTATGACAGGATTAGCACCTCACCTGTCATAGCATTATAAAAAAGTTAAAAATCACACATTCCTTTATTGACAGTATAGTTGACATTTTTACGGATCTTTAATCATTTTAATGACAACGGATTACGATTACAACCTGTCATCACATGGTCAAACGCAAATTGTCACTCATCAAGTATATAACTAGAAATAGAGACGAAATAAGGGCAACCCATCCCTGGCAACTCATTAGGCAAATGGGCCTTATATCAGTTTTAAATATCAACTCTCGTTTGCGCTGAAATCACAAATTAAAAACTGAAGTAGTACACAGCCAACAACTGACCTGTGTGTACGTCTCCGTATATTCCTAAAGTATTCTGTATTTATTGTAATAAAGATAATATATCTAACAATGGTTGTTGTTCCATTCGGTGGTGTGGGGAAAACAGCAAAACATCTAATTACAAAACAAACGGAATCACATTTCTTCGGTAATTCTAATTAAATATGTAATATTTCAATTATCGTCCATTATAGCAAAGGTCAAGTTAAACTGGAGGATTTAAAGTGAAACAATTGACGACACCCGTCGAAATTGGTCAATCAGAGCGCGGTTGTCACAGTAATGATTTCAATCAAATTAAATGACATTTTGTCTCTATTTCTGGTTATATACTCGATGTTGTCACATAACACATATTTTACTATTCTTAGTATAAATATTTAATGATGAATCACTTTTACTTCGATATTAATTTGCTCTCTATGAATGTATGTTATACTATGTAGTTACAGCTATAATACTGATTTTACACTCCACTAGCCGATATATAACATTTATATTTAGAGGAAGGAAGTAAACGTAGAGCGTTTAGTTTCCATTGCTATGCATTACACGACCAGTGGCGTAGCGTGGTGCGTGCAGAAGAGGCCATGGCCGTAATCATTTTTTTTACTATTTGAGGAAACGTTATCTTGAACAACACAAAAATGTCAACGGGAGTTAAACATGAAAACACAATTGAGATGGGTTTGCATGAACGAACTACTTTTGTGGTCGTGAAAATGAGGGGGCAGCAATTTAAGCGCGCTTGTACACGTCCGCTTCATATCAGTTCCGAATCCGAGACATGGCTGTCCGAAATGTCACAGGGATCATTTTATCTCTAGGTGTACGAGCGATATTCGTATTTTTAACCGACTTAAAAAAAGGAGGAGGTTCTCAATTCGTCTGTATGTTCTTTTTTTTTGTATGTATGTTACGCGTTAACTCCGGTATTTGTGAACCGATTTTCATGATTCTTTTTTTGTTGGAAAGGGGGTACTTCCATAGTGGTCCCATTTCATTTTGAAGAAAATCTTCAACCTTGAAGGGTAGCTGTTCACGCATGAAGATTCATTTTTATAAATAGCGCCTAACTTTAATTTAGGAGCAATTAATTTAATGGTTGATTTTGCTATTTCTCCAATTCAAGGCGTTTTTCTCTCAATATACTTTGAGTAGTGAGAACCGATTTTTATTATCTCTAGTGTCAAGTCCTGTATAGTGGCGAACTAGAGGATATTTCAATAAAACTTAGCAAATAGACGTAATTCCACTTACTTTTGAGGTCGGTTTTTTTAGTACTCTGTACTGAGATTATCTCATATTCTAATCGGACTTAGTACACAAGGGACATCCCAAGTGGGTCCGAGTTTTCTAGATTTGTATAGTCTAGTATTCGGGACGAACATGAATAGGGTGTAGTGCGTAAAAGCGCTGGTTAGCCCCGAGCGGCGGAAATCGATGCTACGCCACTGCACACGCCTTGTCTATTTTACGTATATGATACATACTTTTCCCATCGAGAAGGACAGATGCCACAACCTTCCACTTGCAACGATGCTGACACATATATTTTACCACATCAAACGCCATTCATTTGAACTCGATGTTTAGAATATTTAAAATATTTTTCTGTGTCACATTTATATATATTTTTTAATTATAAATATATCATTACCATTAAACACAATGGCATTCTATTTATATTTCATGACCATACGCCCACATCGAGCATAAAACCAGAAATAGAGGCCATATCACAGTACAGCGCCAACAACTGACCTGTGTGTACATCTCCGTACATTCCAAAATTATTCTGTATTTATTGTAATAAAGATAATATGTCTAATAATGGGGGCCTGTTCTATTCGGTGGTGCGAGAAAAACAGCAAAACATCTACTTACAAAACAAACGGAATCACATTTCATCGGTAATTAAATATTAAATATGTAATTTTTAAATTTTCGTTCATTACAGCAAATCTCAAGTTACTCGCCAATTATTTCGAATTCGGGCTGGCCAATCATAGCGCAGTTGTCGTCGTAATGATTTGGCAGAATAGTTTTCAAACAAATTAAATGACATTTCGTCTCTATTTCTGGTTATATACTCGATGTACTCCCGTGATATATTGTTATAATCAACGTAAACGGTGATAGAAGGATTAATTAAATAGTTATTTTTTATGCAAAGCTGCAAAGTTCTTGTTTCATGCGAGTGCTTGTATTGAAGCCTGAACAAGCGAAGTAGTCTAAGAATAAACCAAATGAGAGTTTCTCTGACTGAGAAACGTCTTACAATTTCTCTGTAGATAGCGCGTGTAGAAGACCTCGTGTCGTATTACAATGGAAAAGTGTACAAGAAGGAAAACCAATTGCGTTCGCGTCATGCTCAGTGGATGAGCATTGCTTCCGTGACTTATTTACATCAATTGTATAACTATATTGTGGTAATAATTGATGGTCTTCACTGTCTTGTACTTTTATATTTGTTTTTTATAGGTATTGATTTTTTGTTTTTATAAAATATTAAGTATGTATTTTTTTATAATATCAAGTGACGGGGCACACAAGTCGGTAAGCGATATGCCTATCCATAGCAATTGCAGTGCTATTTAGAGATTTTAATCGCAAAGATCTAAGGCGCACTGCCACTGTGCCCGTCACCTTGAGACAGGTTGATCAGTCCATTTACCTGTAATGTCACCAGCATCATTACCATTCGAAACAGGAACGCAGTA